GATTACAAACAGTGAAATTGAACAGAAGGGAACTTTATTAGGAGACAATATTTGGAAAAATAATGACCTATTCATCCAGTTTGCTGCACTTGATACAGATCAGTCCTGCTCTGTTTCTCTTGATAAAGACAGGACATGGCAACAAGTCAGACTCTCACAGCAGAGGCAGCTCCATGGAGCACCCACTGACCGTGTATCCTCATGCTTGGTGCTTTTCCTTCTTCTTATGTGCCCTCGTTCATCGACACCAACAGCCACTTCCCACCTAAACCTTCTCTGGGACCTTCAGCTGTTATTGCAATCTAAGCAACAAAGTCCTAACGCTACAGAAATGGGAGTCACTGGATTTGTGAATCTTCACTCACAACCAGCTTTGCCATCTCGGTTCTCTGGAGAAAGCAAAATATCTATGTGATATAAGGTAAGTAAAAGCTAGAGATAGGTAAGGAACCTCTCAGTGCTGACAGTGCTTTGACCTTTCTAGACAGCCTCACCTGCCACAGAAGGCAGCAGCTCTCCCAAGTGAATTAAGACAGGAATCTCATTCAACTCTTCTAGGTCATCACGAGGAAAAGGCTCTCCCATGCTAAAGTGGTGTTACCAAGGATGTGGATCAAGACACCGTCATCCTGAGACAGTGCAACCAAAAGAGAGGTAAGTTAGCTCCTAGCTAGGTGACAGGAATAGGAAGCAAAGAGGAAAGGTTAGAGGGTGGCAGTTTTAGGAGAAAATGCATGTTCTAAGTGGAAAGGGCAGCTCCCCAGAGGAGGAGAGAGGATAATGCTAAGTACTGGAGAAGGAATTGCTTTCTGTTCAGCAGTCGTACATACTCAACACAGCAGGATCCTCTCTATGTTTTTGGCACTGCTGCAATTACAGCAACAATAAAAGCAATTATTATTGATGCAGAAGAGCCTCCCAAACCACAGTCAGCCAAAATTACACGCTAAGGGCTTGACAATCAAAACTCACTGGAATATTATCAATAGGATTATTATGGACACACCCAAAAGGGTCACAGTGCAGCTCATAGGGGCAAAAAACAGACAGCAGTACCACACTCTTCACACCTTGTGAGCACATTTGCAGCAGGATTAGAGGTCATTCCTAAGTTGTTGGATGGAGTTCAACACACACCTAGTTAAGGGCCTCCCATGCTGCCCCCAAATGCTTCAAGGCTTCAAGATTACATTCCACCACTGAGAATATCACAAACGAGCACACAAAGGCAAGAGCCAGTTACAGTCAGTTGAAATTTGCACCAAGGGATCGTTGGAAAGGGCAGAGAACCCAGCTACGTTCTTTGGCAAAGCTGCACTGGTGTAGAGGGTTTCACTCACCATGCTTTTATTTTAAGGTGCACAAAGCCCACTCTCTGCTCTCCAGGAACTGCATGGCCTTGGCTCCACACCACTACCACAAAAAGCTCTTAGAGGGGGTTTCAAGGATGTGGCATTGAACTGGGTGAACTACTGGCTGCTTAGCTGGGGTCTAGGGTGTCAGGCACTACAAACTGCACGTCCAGCACTGCCTCCGTGTGAAATAGCTGACAGATCACGGCAACATATAAAGATCAGAAGGCACAAAGCTCAAGAGTAGGAACCAGAAGCCAAGAGATTAAGAAGTCTGAAGGCGCTTCTTGTTTCCAAAGACATCAGAGCACAGTGAGGGCAGAGAAAGCAGACAATAGTACGCAGTACAAACAGAGGTAGCTACAACGCTTAGCATTTACTTTTTCAGCTTTCCAGAGACATTATTCCAGGATGAAACAGGAGATCAGCTTGTCCAAATGCTCTTATAGCAAAGAAGTGATGAGAATCAAGACACAGAGAGACAGTTAAAGCAGAAATGCAAAGAATGTGGATTTACTTTGTGAAGACTGGGAACTGATCTGTTCTTCAAGAAAGAAACAACAGAAAATGAGAACTGCCCATAATGTGATGCAGTAAGAACCTTAGCTAGAAGGACTCTTTTGCACCTTTACTGCCTTGATCTACAGTGAGCCCAGGTCACAAGCATTAGGTATTTCCAGGCTTTTCAGAAGCAGCCTAATAATCACAGAGCACAAACAAAAACGCAGCATGCCAGGCTGTTTCCTGCTACAGCTGGTCAGGGCGAGGGAACCCCATTCCCACGGGACACAGTTACAATGGCACAGAGAAGGAAACAGTCCCACACAATGATGGTGTGCTCCAGGACATCGCGGAGGTACGCTCAGGTCAGAAGTGACTTTCTAGTGCAATACTGTGACCCATTAAACATCATCAGGTCACTACTGAAACAACAATTTTTTTTCGTAAGAGGGAGATAATCCACCCTTTTCATCTTGAGTCATCTCCCCACCATCCTCGGGAAGGGCATCAGTAGCTCCACCGAGTCTCAGCCAGCCATCTCCTAATACCTCACTGCCAGGGACAGAGATGATTCTTTCATTAATGTTTGTAAAGTGCTTTGCAGATATAAAGCTCTGCCTAAGTGCTAAGTGTTATTACTACCCATCTTCTGCCGACAATTAAAGGCAGAAGTTAACTCCTTTTCTCCACTCTATCAACACGTGTCAGTGGTCTGCATCGGGAGCTGAGCTAGCCTGCTAGCCTCAGCCTCCCTACACTTCAGCTCCCTGTTTCCCCCTTAAAACAACCCAACTGATAGTGTGTATTCCCAGACACCATTTTTCTAGTGTTTCTTGGGTGCGTGTAGCAATTCAGCCTTACCCTGTGGTCTGTAATAGTGCATGATCTGATGGATGCATCTGATGTCAGTGCAGCATCTGACACAGCTGCTCCATATGAGCTCCTGAACCATACAAGCTCTCAGCAAGGGGAACAACGCTGCTCTTTTCCGAAGGACGTACAAAGAAAACAAAAAGCAACAGGTTGCTGCTCAGAATGAAAGTGTTTTTCCTTTTACAAATTGCTTGGAATTCAGAGGGGTTTCTTCCCTCCAGTTCAAGACATATAGGAAAGGTCACCTTTGGAACCTAAGCCACGGGGACAATATTTTACTGCCCATTTAACAAAGCCCCTGGGTTTCTGAAGGCCCTGTAATTTGTAAGCAGTAGGGGACACCGTATCCCACACTAAATCGTTGAGTGGGAGATCAGCACATGGACACTAAGTCCAGTTCTCTTCTGTGTGCCTGAATTCATTTACATCAACGCACACTGGCTATAAAGTGCTCTCATTCTGACTTGATAGCATTTGATAGCACTCGTATTCTCTTTGTGTGGCACCCAGGACACCACAGCCCTGACCTGCGCCTGGGGCTTCCAGAGACCACTCCAGGGACACAGCTCGAAGCTGGGGTCAACAGGAGCCTGGGGATTTGCCACGAGCTAAGCTCCTGGGAAGTACAGCATCCTCCCATAATAGAAATACTGCAGGGGAAAGGAGGGCAGTAACACCTCTGTGATTGTAAGGACATTAAAATAGGAATGTCTTTTCCAGTGAGGGAGGACAGAGCTCCAAGTGAGACTGATTGGTAACTCTGCTGAGCTTTGCTATGAAGGTGGTTTGTCAATTAAAGACCTTCTACAGGTCACAGTATGGTTAACTTTCTAGATAGGTAGTTTCTCTCCTGCCCCCATCATTGGAAAGTGCCTGCCTAGGTCGGTCTAACAGGTTCCTCCGGGCACTGAGGCTCTGTACAGCAGTGCTCAGGTAGTTTTACTAGCAACTCGGTCAAGCTTTGCAATGCAGCGTTGTGCAACTGAGAGGTGGATGAGTGAGGGTGGGCAAGGGATGCACGCAGCTTCCCCCAGACAACCCTCAGACTTGAAAAGCAGGAGACCTGCAATGACTGCCCATCCTCTCTACCCTCAGTTCCCAGAGGGAATAGCACAGGAAGTAGAGAATGAACAAGCTTTTTGCTTAGGGACAGCCTCCCTGTTTGCTTAATAAATACCTTCTAAAAAAGCTTAGCAGCTCTGTAAACATACAAGAGATTTCAATACTTAGTAAAAGTTCATCTTTTCCCTGAACTCCCAATGACAGAGGCTGGCACTGCTCTGTGATTGCTGCATATGGGTGGTGTGAGGACCCAGCGGAGTCCAGGAAAGGCTCCCAGGCTCCGTGAGGGCCTGGCAAATAACGCTGGGTGTTGAGAAGCCTGTAAATTTTTTTTAAGTTGATCCATCCGTGCAGCTCTGAGATGAGAATCCTGTCAGTCCTGCAGGAATGTTGTCAGCTGAGTGGTCCAGGGAACTGAGAAGTGATGATGGTGACATCCAGAAGAACTCTTTCTGGCAAAGGGGGGACACGGTAGAGGGCTTTGGCTCTTCAGAACAGTGTCCTTCCCTCTGAGAAGCAGCCTGGTGGTCACTGAACACAGAAGTACTCAGGGGAGAGAAAACACAGTGCCAGCCCCATTCTTGCTGCGCCTGGCCAGGGGAGGGGAGACTGCATTTGGGGAGAATACAGCCCAAATGGCTTTAAAACAGGAGTGTCCTACAAAAGCAATCCCCATGGAAGTGTGACGAATTGGATCTTGGGCCAGATCCGACATGGTAGTGCAATAGGGCCCAAAGTCTCAATCCGTTCATTTCCAAAACCACTGACACCACCCAAGGGGGTGATCTGACCTGGCCCCCTTGCTTCTGTCTATCCAATCCTCAAGCTTCAGAGAATCCACCTCTTCAGCCCAGAGGATTCCCTGAAGCTGGGTATCTCACTCCCAAACTCAGCAGGTGCCCTGGGGCAAGGAATCTGCCTCCGAAATGAGACAGGCTGAGGTAGGGAACTTGCATCTACCTTTAGTGACTCCGACCCTCTTAGCATAGCAGCCCTCGTGAGGCAACGCTTCTTTTCTCCCAGCTGCAAGCATGGGACTCGAGCACAATCCATCCTCCAGACATCAGTGTGCCACCACTGTGTCACCCCAGAAGGAACATTTCCAGCTGTCTCCTCTGATCCAAACTGCCCAATGACCACCTCTTCCAAGTATTATCCCAGCACTCAGCATACGGGATCAGCTCTCAGAGCCGCAACCCTTTTTACCCTGCACTAGAGGGCTGAAATCATGAGGTCGTCCTGCTTGGCAGGGCTGGTTACGTGCCCAGAGGGGGTGGAAGTCCGGATTTTGTCAGTGGCCAGGCACTCCTGGCTGCTCACACCTGTGGGAGTGATGTCCATGAGTTCTCCAGATGAACTAAGGGGGAAAGAGGGGGAGACAGAGATGCCTGATGAAGGATCTGTTGAGCCTGCAAACAACCTTGGGGGCTTTGGGACTAGGTTTGGTTCATATTGTGCCCTCAACAGGATCTCCTGATCACTGACGGACTTGGGCATCTCTGCAAAGTCACTGGAGCTGTCTGACACCATCATGCAGTAGATGTCCTGGAAAGAGCTGCTTTTGCTATCCAAATTAAAGAGGCTGTCTATGAACTCAGCAAACTCCAGCACTTGGGGACTGGGAACATCAGTAAGCCGTCCATTCTGGAGGGACAGCTCCTCACGAGGGGCTAAGGAAACGCGGTCCCCTTCACTGCTGGCCCCCTCCTCACTGCAGCGTCGCTGCGGGGTAGTGCCACCGCTGTTGAGCACATTGTCGGGGGGCTGAGTCTCCTGGGAGTGCTTGGAGAGGCTATCAGCAGCCAGCAGCTCTGTCCGCGAGCTGAGGGAGGGGTTCTCCTCAGGGATAACAGGGTCTATATAAAAGCAGTGCGTCTCATCCTTCTCCATGACAGCATGGAGGCTGGGGGAGCCTCGGATGCTCCGAAAACCAGAGGAGCGCCTTGAATCAAAGCTGTAAATGGATTCATTGTCCGAAAGGCTCTCCATGGTTGCAAGAGGGGCACGACGGTCCTGCAGCTCCACTGACAGCCGTTCCTTTGTATCCAGGAGAAGCAGCTCCACCGGGTCTTTCTGCACGGGAGAAAGTGGCTTCGTCTCATAAAACCCCTCCAAGCTAATCTCAGAATGGGACTTGCTCCTGCAATGAGAAACAGACAACATGAGGCTACATTGCTCCATAGAACCGCAAGGTGCCAGAACAGCCAACAGAAACCAAGTCTTGGGCACAGACGTCCTGATAGACACGGAGGGCACATTGTAACCAGAGCCATCCACCCTCCCAGCTGATAATATTAGGTACAGTTTCTTCCCTCAGCAAACTCAGGTTCTTGCCCTTCTCCCTTTCCTCCTGGCTAAACGACTTCCCTCTCGAGTGCTATTTTCACTTAGGACCACGGTTCTGCTCCCAGTGAAACTTGCAGCGCTTCTAACTCATGGCACAGTCTCCACACATGCAGACAAATCCCTCTCTTACCCAACACCTCTGTATGAGAGAGGATTGAGGCAAGAGAGGTTAAAGGACGAGCCTACTGTTAACCTACTACTTTCTTTTCATACTCTGAACCACTCCAGTCTCAATGCCTTCCCCTCCATGCTGGCAACCCCCCTACTACCACAAATGCCAGGAAGCTGCTAAGAGCACTGTTCATGACCTTCAGGTAGCAGACTTTAAAATAGGTAAAAAAGCAATTTACTCAGCTTAAGACAGGTAAAGATCTTTATAAAGACTCCACTCACGCTAAGACTTTTAAGGATTAGGCAGGCTCCTTCAGAAAGATACCATGTCAAAGACTTCTCACACCAGGCACACGCAAATCCTGGGATTAGCTGCAGCCAAAGCAACAGTCCTAAAGACCAGAACTTAAGGAAATATCTGGGAAAAGAGCCCAAGCCTGGGAAAGGACTGCTGCACCTGCCAAAAGGACATGATGTATAGGGAAAGGTTTATAAGCTAGACAACAACATCGTAGCTATTGTAACAACAATAGAGTAGCAGTGATCTGAGGACAGGTTTCAAGAACCCCAAAAGAAGGAGTCGGACCCAGTAAGCTGGCTCTAACCTTGAATTAAACACAACCAACCTAAAACTGTTTCACTCTAGCACCTCGCTACCCTCTCCCTTAGAATCATACAAATCAATGGATGGCCTGAGTTGTAAGAGACCTGGAAGATCATCCAGTCCAAGCCCCTTGCTATGGACAGGGACACCTCCCACTAGACCAGGTTGCTCCAAGCCCCATCCAACTTGGCCTTGAACACTTCCAGAGATGGGGCATCCACAACTTCCTCCGTTTTCCTTTCCCTTTCAAATCTCAGAATTCCCCCTCTGATTTCACTCACCTCAAAGGGAAGCAGCAACTTGGGTCTACTCTGGCTCTGGCACAGAAAACACCACTCCTGTCCCTGCTACTGACCTGGTTAATTGTAGTCTTATTGCAGCCTTCACAAACATGGGCCAATCCCTGTTCCTGCTGTTTTGTCACAGCTACGGTTCTGTTCCTAAGCTCTCCTTCACTGTCTCTGACCATTCACTCTCTCTGTGAACAGGAGCCTTACCATCTTCATACTATTTGCTGTCTAATCTTTCTTCTAAATTTAAATCTCACCTGTGTTTTCTCAAGGATACTCAGCTGTCCATCACTCAGCACAAATCATCTCATCCTGCCTCTTCCCACACACACACAGAGCTTCTTGTTGGGTGTCTCTACCTGAAATCTCCATAAAAGTGCTTCATTTGAATCTGATGCCTGTAGTCTTTTCTCTAACGATAGCTCTATTGCCCCGTGCCTCATTATTGTACATGTCCTTCTGCAGAAGATACCTTCTTGGCCTGCAATAGAAAACCTCACTTTCTGAAGCCAAATACTTGTCTTTATTGTTGCAAGAAAACGAAGAGCAAGCTCACGGTTATTCAGAGAGCTTCTCTGCCACACAGAAGAGTAAAAGAGAATAGTAAGAAATAAAATAAAGAAAAAAATCACCCTTTATTACTGTATCTGTAAAATTATTTGGAATGTATAGTGTATAATAAAGACTGATTATCAGCTTAAATTTCTTAGCTTTGCTTTTTCAGAATACCGTCTTCTGTGGACATGAGGCTACTGAAGCTGTACAATAGTGAGGACACAAAACAAAACAGATGGTGCATTAATAATGGAAGTATTAGAAAAAGGATACTCTTCCAGATTTCAATGTATTCATTAATACATTTCAGACAATTTAATTGCTTCCTGAAACACTAATTGAAAGAGTTTCATTTGCAAAAACCTAGCCCTGCTAATATAAACTAGGCACAGTGCCACAAAGAGCTTGAATGCTGTAATAAGGAAATGAACAGAAGGGGGTTGGGTATTTTTCATGTATGTATGTTTATTTCTTTTAATGTAAACCTTACGAAGGCATACAACGCATCAGGGAAAGAAAGATTTACAAAGGGAAGCCAGGTTTTGAATTTGGATACCTGGGTTTGGATATTTAGAAAACGTGAGGAGTATTTTTGATTTCTGAAAAGTCAGCCCATGTCAAGGGAGTGTGAGCTGGATTTAAGAGCACAGCAATCTAATGCAGTATATTATCAACACTATACAGTCCTATACTTGACATATCTATCAATATAAGTAGTAGATACTTGTAAAATATTTTCTTCTGAAGGTGCCTGCTTCAATTCTTTCAGTTTATCTTCTAAATATGGATAAGCAGTCAAGTTTTGCCTGATTTTGAACCCTCTCGTCTATGATTAAATAATCCTCTCTCACAGTGTTGTCTTGTGTTTCCACAAGTCCCATCCTAAAGTATCCTTAAATGCATTTGTCCTGGTAAGCTAAAGGCTTTCACTGCTTCTCAGCTTTTGAGAATCACCATATAGTCTACATTTGGGCACATAAGTCACACAGGAAAATAGAAATTTGGCTGCAAGACTGCGAGCTTTGCCTTTACAGTTTCAAGGAAAACCCCATTTGTCTGGATAAGGAAAGGAAGTTTCTTCCCTACCCTCAACTTCTGGTTCTCCTGACCTAACTGCACTCACAGATTCTTGAGCAACACAAAGGATTTTTTTCTCCCCTAACATAGACAAGATATACTGAAGCTAAGTAAATGTCCCACAGAGACAGCCCTTGGACCTACGCTTTCCACAAATATTGATCACAAGACCCCAAGACAGAGAGGACCCACACCTAAAGCCAACAGTCCTTCAAAGAAATCAAAGGTATCTCCTTACTTAGTACTGCTGTTCCTTCTGTCCACTGTAATAGCTCCAGTTCCAATCTGCACTGAGGGTCCACTAGGCAAGGGCTGACTCTGGAAGATCAACTCTGGGGTGAGATCCACTTCTGTAGGACTCACCATCACTTTGGCTGCAGAAAGTAAAGCTGTTTTCCCCTTGTTGTAATTCTCCAAGACCTATTAAAGGAGAGGAACAGTAGGGCTTTACTGGAGAGAGCAGCTTTGCTGTTCTCAGCTCAGGACTTTCAAACAGCTGGATTTGCCACTGTTTCTTACCAATGCCTTCCACAAGCACAGGGCAAGGTCTTGACATAAAGGATTATGTGAACGAACTCTGACATCCTCTACCCTGTCAGAATGCCATACTGGGAATACAAGGCTAGGGAGGTTACTGGCAGGATGCTGGCAGAAGCAGCCTTCAGCCCAACAGGGCAGAGGAGACTTGGCTAAATCTCCAAGGTAGGAAGAGATTACACAGCCAGAAACTGTATCTTAGTGGTAGAAACCCATTTTATAACCATTACATGTAAGCTCAGTCACCCATTGGACTAACAGAGGGGCTGCAGCCGCAGTGTGGGTGACTTCTGCAGCAGCTTGGATTTCACCTGAACCACAGCGTATAATGGGCAGCATCTGAGAGAAGGAACCAAACACCCCCCAGGCTCACATTAAATTTGGAAAGAGGACCGACTCTGGTGTTGAGATGGAGATCTACACTCCATTTCCAGACCTCATTACACTCAACTCTTAACAGCCCGTGTGTGACAAAGTAAATAGCCCTGTGTATTTAAAAAGCCAGCTCTCCTGGGCAAGGACTACCTCTTCTGTGCACATAAAGGCCTGTGACAAGGTCCTCGTTTTATTAGGGCACCTAAGTGCTTTGCAATAAGAATTATTAAAACTGGACCCCACAAAGGCTCTCTAATACACACACAGAGCTTTGGCTTGGCACCAAGAAACCTGGCAGTTCACACACTAGAACCACCATGCCACTTGTCTTGTTTACAGCTCACCTCATCAGCACCATTATGCTGAGCCTTTCTTGTCCAAACCTGGGCTTCTCAGCCATTCGAGTCAGAGCCCCTGTTATTGCACCGAATGATCCCTCCCCACACCTGATCCTAATTCTCTGCGTTACCTTGTTGAGCCCTTCCATGACCACATATGGGAGGTGTTCGTGCAACATCGCTGGCGAGATGATCACCTCATTAAACGCTTTATTGTCACCCCAGATAGCAAAGTAAGTGGGATCCTCTTGATCACAGCAACTGGAAGAGAAGTTGGGATCCAAGCAGAGAGGAAAAAAGGGAGCAGAGGATGAAAGAGCAGGCCAAGATTTCGGCATGCAGAAGAAAGAAACAGCAGGTTGCAGAGACAGAAAAAGCAACAGGAGGAAAAACAGAGGGAGAAAAATATTAATGTACGCACACTGCTGCCATTGCTCCAAAACTCTGCACTAGCCAACAGTGGCACGACTATCTTTTTATTCTGACAGCATAGACAAAATCACTGTCACCATAAGACGGCAGGAAAAAAAAAAATCAGAATCACCTCCTTCATAGATGGGTTCCTGTCTTGGTGAGTCTTTTCCAAAAGAAAATTTTCACCCCCACCCACTCACCAGCACTGCTCTGCGGGATGATTGTGCACCACGTGGATGATGCGACCAGGTGGGTAAAGCGGGGTGCTCGCAGACAGGGCAATAGTCAGATCGCTGGGGTGGGTCCAGAGGCGATTGCTCGTTACTGAATTTTCTTCTGTCTCTTCAGGGAGCTCTGACTTGGGGATGCATTTTGTAGCACCCACAATGATTCGCCACTGTTCAGAGCAAGAGAAAGGAGGAGAAAAACATGAAAACAAAGCAGAGTCATCTCACAAGACACTATTTGTAGGTTTAAACTGAATACCTAATACTGGAAAAGAGAAAAACAGGTCTTGTGTCTTGATCGCTTAAGTAACAGACCTAGAGGTAAAGATAACCCTGCCCAGAAGAGTTGTTTCTTCCTTTCCCAGTTTTAACTTTAGAAGTGGCAACTTATCATCCTTCCTTTTTCTGCTGGAGGTTTTTGTCGAGTTAAGGATCTAGAGCAAGCATCAACTTGTCCACCAGCTGATAACTTAATAGCTTCCAGCATAAATAAAACAGATGGAATCTAAATTTTTAATGTACAAAAATAAGCAAAAGATTATACTACATAAACAGACAAAAAAACCCAACAAACCTGATTAGGTCTTTATGCAGACCTAAGAACAGATACAAAAGAAATCCAAAAAACCCCCAAAATTCACCAAAACACCAAAAAATGCCTTAGTCAAAACACAAAAACAGAATCACAGAATCACAGAATCACAGAACGTTAGGGATTGGAAGGGACCTCAAAAGCTCATCCAGTCCAATCCCCCTGCCGGAGCAGGAACACCCAGATGAGGTTACACAGGAAGGCGTCCAGGCGGGTTTTGAATGTCTGCAGAGAAGGAGACTCCACAACCTCTCTGGGCAGCCTGGGCCAGTGCTCTGTCACCCTCACTGAGAAGAAGTTTCTTCTCCAATTTCAGTGGAACCTCCTGTGTTCCAGCTTGTGCCCATTACCTCTTGTCCTGTCATTGTTTGTCACCGAGAAGAGCCTGGCTCCATCCTCGTGACACTCACCCTTTAAATATTTATAAACATGAATGAGGTCTCCCCTCAGTCTCCTCTTCTGCAAACTAAAGAGACCCAGCTCCCTCAGCCGCTCCTCATAAGGGAGATGCTCCACTCCCTCCATCATCTTTGTAGCCCTACGCTGGACTCTCTCCAGCAGTTCCCTGTCCTTCTTGAACTGAGGGGCCCAGAACTGTACACAATATTCCAGATGCGGTCTCACCAGGGCAGAGTAGAGGGGGAGGAGAACCTAAAACCATAGAATGCTAACAAGAAAAGTAAGTATTAAGCTCAATTTTCTTCTTCTACAGTTCATTTATATATTTTACCCCTAAACAAATCTTAATGCCTTATGTTTTTTTCCATCTCAGTGTAATGGTAAAGACGTCTGGTGAAGAACAACTTTCCACACTTCCTATCTCCAAAACGCTAACAAAACGCTCATCCTAGAACAGCACCACCCAGACAGCACACAGCAGTGTCTATAAGCAGACAACTGCTGTACTGCCGAGCCTGTTACCATTTGTTACTGGCCAAGAAAAGCTACAGTTGGAACACAGACTTCAAACAGGCTCAGATGAGAAAATTTCCTGCTCAGTTATTTTACGTATGTGATGGTGAACTTAAGAGCACATGAGCCAGAATCATCGCACAGCCCTGCACGCAGAGTGCAGCCCTTTGCCCTCACCCCTCTAGCTGCCTTCCAGCTCTTGCCATCATTCTTCTGGTTATCTAAATAACAGTCACAGTGGACCTGAGGAGACCTGGAGGGCAGGAGAAATCTGCAGTATTACTACGTGACACGACAAATTTACCATCACTGCTCAGAGACTCACCTTGTGGTGTCTGTTAATCTTTACTCTTACCTTGGGTTTGTTACTTCTTTGAAGAACATCCAGAAGCTGCCGGCGAAATCCCTCCAGCTGAGAGAGACCAATTCTGAAAAAGAGTTAGATGTGTTTACAACAGCTTGGCAGGGAACAGGATGGTAGTGTCACACAGCACAGAAGAACAAGAAGCTACGCTACTACAAGAATGCAACAGCGCCATAATGCAGATCATTTCAGAGGTGGGTTGTGGCATCACCCAGGACCAGTAACCAGAGTTAAGAGGCCACAGAAAACCATCGTGATAATAAACAAGTGTGAAATGTAACAGCGGAATCAGATCAGTGAACAGATATGAGAGAGGTCAATGAACAGATAAGGAGGGAGATGATGCAATCACAGGAACAAGTGAGCAAGAAATAAGTATAGGATGACACAGAACAGATAATTTAGAAAGGTGGCACAGAGCAATATGACACCAGTAAACAGATTACAGAACAGACAAGATTCTGTCATACAGGTTACCAAAAGGCACACGCAATACTTTCTCTCCACTGAATTCTACACGCCTTGCATTGTACAGACAGAAATGTCACTGTTCATCTGAGGTCACACAACAGGGCAGAAGCAAAAGTAAAACCCAAGTTGTCTGGCTCCTACTCCAATGCCCTGTTCAGCAGCACATGTCCCCAGGAGACTATGAGAGGTGAGAAATGCCAAGACAAGAAATGAGGGAACTAGTTCAGAGATGTGAGACAATATGGAATAGGTATTCGGGGACAGACAGTACAAAATGAGATGACAGAGTATCTACTTCAGGGCAGAGTGTAAAGAAGTCTGAGATAACACAGGCAACAAGGAAGATGACATCGACATGTCACATACCACAATGAGTATAATAACAGAGACAGGATATTCACTCTTTTCTTTCATACAGGCAGCTGAGAGACGGGGAAGGATATGGCTATAAAAAGGTTTGTGAAACACCAACATAGGTGTCCAGGTAAAAGACACAGCAATACAGGTAAGTAGGAAGACAAGTAAGAAGCATACGAGGTTAGGTAAGTGAGAAAACCGGAGACAGATATGATCTAGGTGTTTCTGATAGGAAACAGGTAACTTTGGTACAGAACAGCAGATACTCATCAAGAAATTCAGTCACTTCTCAACTTGCCTGGGCACTAGATCTTTGCCAAGCACGACTGCAGTCACAAACTCTTTTGAGTACTCCATGGCATCCTCACTGGAAGAGAAACAGGACCAAGAAGAAGCAAACAGTATTTCACTAGCAGCAAACTGCACTCCCAGTTTGCCACTGGTGTCAGAACAGTTACTAAACAGTGAACCAGGGACATAAAAACCACAACCCAAGTTGCTCAAGGCTTTTTGGACTTGCACCCTGCTAAAAAAGAAAGCCTGATACTCACATCCCATGCCACAGACAACATAATTCTGCAATGGTATAGCTCATACAGAGCAGCTCCTTTGTCCTTACCTGCATATGGCTCTGAATATACCTGGAAAAGGAAGTACTCTAAGTCAATGCCTCATAGCTGTTCTTCTATAGTTTAGGAATGGTCAGGAGAGCAAGAAGGAAGAAGATAGTCCATGCTCCTGACTACTTCAAAAAGACAGTATAGAACCAAGACGGCCACTTTCTACAACAACCTGAGCATCAAGAGGAAATTAAAACTTCCACTCTACAAGCTGGCTCTGCAATCAGCTAACTTCCTAAAGATCATCTTCTGAAACAGTCACCACAGACAGATGCCACATTGTTGATCTAGAGATGATCCTGGGCACAACACACAGTGCAACGAAGTGTGGCTGTCAGAGGCACCTCCTTGAACTGAGACAGCTGAGGTGACACAGCACAGCATAGCCCAAGCTATCAAGGGATCTCAGGAGTGGGAGCTCTGAACAGAAAGCTATAAAAATTCTCATGAAACATTCTGCAGAGCAATTAATCTATAGCTGCAGAAGACCAGGGATTATTGTCATAACAATGCATGCTAATGTCCAGATTCATTAGCAGGATGGTTTAAAACCCTTGGCTGCTCTAGAAACATGATGCAGTAGCTATCACAAGAAGCTTCTGATAGTCCATAGCTGCTTTCAACTGACCCCATGGCATCTGTCATGACTAGAAAGACCTTCTCTCACTTCACAGCAATCAAGTGGGATGTTTTTGTTTGGCTGCCATGTAAATAACATGGCCAGCAGGTCTGTTCCAATTTACAGTGGGAGGAATTCACCATAGCTCTCTTCAGACATCTGAGGCAGCTACCCTAGATTCCCCCTATAGCCAGGGGAGAGAAACAGGCACCCAAGAAGCAGAATCCCTCTGACTTATTTTAAGGATCCACTTTAGAATGACAGAAATCACACCCTAGAAGTGCCAATTTCTTTGGCAGCTGCAAAAGGAGTCCAGACACCTAGATCAACTGATACAGACATCTACATTCGGTCAAACATCTCTTCACAGCAGACGGGGAGAGGATGCACTGGCACTGTGCAGAGAATAAGGAAATTGCACCAAGTCCACTTAACTTGCACTTTTCACTAGTCAGGGTCAAATTAGAGCCACAGCCACAGCCAACTAAGTCATAAACCAGAATATCTGGGAGAGCGGCCACTTGCCATCATCAACTCCAAACTATAACATAGAGTAGAGGCTGGCAACAACGCTTGGCTCCTATAAACTGCCTCTCAATTTTTCTGCAATGCTTCTCAGGGCAGAGACTTGTCTTCTTGTGCATCACGAAGAGGATCTGATCCAGCAATAACTACACCCCCTCCCTTCTCTCACTGGTCCTCCTGCCCCAGCACCTACCTCAGCAGCCCACCTGGGGGAGAATAGGCAAAGCACTTCAGTGATGGGTACTGCGGACGCAAGAGGAAGGACAGGATGGCAGCCGTGCCAGCCCCTAGGGAATGACCAACCACAATCAGGCCATAGTGTTTTGTTCCTCTCCCCTGAAAACAAAAACAAACAAAACAAGAAATTGAGGTCAGACTGAAACAGAAGTCCACAAGCCCCAAAATCTGTTCCTTTCCCCAGCTGTGAGTCTTTCCTATACGTGAACACTCCAGATTCCAGCTAACCAGCTCCTCCACCAGTGGGGACTAGTGAAGGTGTGTTAGATTTTGAAATGGAAGCAGACTTCTGATTTACACCATTCAGTCTAAGTCATAGTGGCAATCCCAGAACACTCCTGCCCTACAACGCTGCTTGCTCTGAAGGGATGCTAGAATTCATTCTCTTCTGGTATTCTCTCCTACCTCTCCATCAGTTGGTGTTTGACCCACTGGGTCTTCCCTAAAAGAAAGGTAAGAAGAAAAAGGAAATGTATACTCAAGCGGTTTGAGTTATTTAGGATATCATATGAGCCTTTTGCTCCTCCTCAAATCTGACAGACTTCTGATAATATCCAAGGCCAGCCTTACACATCTGAGGTCTCCTTGCTTTTGGAAGTTACTTGCTTTCATTAATTCCACCACTTGTGCAGGCTGAAAAACAGAAATCCTAAGTAGCAGTTTGATCAGTAGCCTTCTAAGTCTAGATGTTCTCAGATGGCAACTGCTCAAGTAATTCAGAGACAAAAGTATTCTCTAATGTTTTGTACTGTTCTTGTAATTCAGAGGCAAGAGTGCCTCCAGCAGGTGATGTTACTAATGGGCTGTTAGCCTTGTAGCTATATTTTTAATAATTACAGTACATTCTAATGTAGACAGTGATTTTAACATTATGGAATGAGACTTTT